ATGTATTTATTTACACTAAAAATGGAATATTTTTTGCATAGCGCCTTAAAATGATTTTTACTTGCTCAACACGAAATGACCTAGGTAAATTAACCAAAATTTTTTCTGCGATACAATACCTCAATAAAATACGTAAGCTATCCTATGTCTGTAGAGTTATTCCCTTATGATTATAAGATCACATTTACCTAGTCCTTGTATCAGCCATCGCATCGTATAGTGTTATGATTAATTAATTTTCGTTGTATGTATTTATAATTGGCTCATACTAATTACCCTTAGTTCTGTATATTTTGATTCCATGTTTATGCGTTTGGGTTTTATAGCTAATTATATATATAAAAGTTCATCAACGCTTTACATATATAAGTCTGAATTATTTCAGATCTCCTTTTTTTGAAAAAAATGTTTTATTGGTTATATCTATTTAATCGGGATTACGCTAAATAAGCATACACAAATGTCAAATTCACTGTATTTCACGGAAGTTGTTCAGAATATGCAATTTGAAGATAGCAGCGCTGTTACTCTTTTGATTAATTAGCTATTTTTTAGGTCTTGGTTACTAGCTTCTATTTATCAGATAATTACTTGGATATACGTCTTGCATCGCAAAGCAACAGAGTAGAGCTATTTTTAACCTCAATCCTCTACACCATATAACACTGCTTGATATATATATATAAATATATAAGCCCATTATAACATAAATGAATGACGCGCTATACAATACTCTATCAGTAAGTATTAGGTGTAAACTACTCGCTATTTTAACTCTGAACATCGGAAGCTTAAGTTGATATTTGAAAGTAATATCTTATATCTGTTGCTCTAATGGGATCGAGTTCCTATTACTAAAAGGTTTAAAGCATTAATGAGATAGACTAAAGGGAATTGATGAAAAATTTCATACTTAAATTGACTAAGCTGGTCCTAAGATACCTATGGGGTTGTTGTATATGAATAGAAATAAGTTGGCATCTATTCAGGACTTGAATAACTTTGTGATGCAAATGTGATAAAGATAAATATTTTTTTCATTTATAACTAGAGTTTATAGACTACAGGTAACTCAATTATATGAGATTTATTCATCCTATTTTGTTAGAGCTGATGAAGTACTGGCAGTTGAATTTTAATGCGACGTGTAGATCTGTTGTTTCCATTAAATTTTCGAATAGGTGTTATCATTCAGGGTTGACTGCAGTTTCGATTTCTCCGAAGTCTTATCAATATTCCAAGCTTGATTCGAGCCATGGAAGTGCAGTGTAATCTTGACAGGCTAACTACTATGCCACATTGCCACGAGTGTCACAGGGCGGATGTGAATTTCAACGAAGGCCTGCATTTTTTTATATCACATATCTTGATGGGATTGTCGATGAATTAAAGTTATATTTGCTATGAAAGTTGACTACATTACTTATTTTTCGTTTATAAGCGGAGTTTCGCGACCACTAGCAAATCTGTGATTTGAGATGTATTCACTATTTCGTTTAAGATGTTGAAGGTCTGGTAGTTGAATTTTACAACATTGATATGTATGGAGATGACGTTTCCATTGAATTTCACATAGCCTTGTTTTCCCAAAAGATATCCTCATCCAGCTTGAACTGCAGTTTCAACCTCGCCTCGGCCTTATTAACACCCCTGGTGAGATTGACCCATTGCACCGCAGTGTGTAACCTCGACATGTTAACTACTATACCACATTACCAAAAGGGCCCTTTGGTCATAGGGTAGGGGCGAATTTCAAGGAAGGCCTGGCATTTTCTTATTACATTCTTTATTAAAATTGTCGACGAAGAAAAGTTTTATTTGTTATGGCAATTGGCTACATTACTTATTTTTGTTTATGGAGTTTTAAGACTACCAGAAAATCAATTATATGGGACGTATTCATCCCATTTTTTAAATGATGACGAAAGGCAGGTGGTTGAATCTTCCCAAAATGATTTGACTATAACTGACGTTTATATTGAATTTCACAGCCTTAACATCAAAAAATGTGTTCTTATCCAGAGTGGACTGCAGTTTTGACCTCGCATAGTTCTTATCAACACTCCTTTCACTTTGCGAACCATGTAGAGCAGCGTGTATTCTCGACAAGTTAAACACTATACTACTGCTACAATTTCTCTTAAAATACAGGGTAGATTTGAATTTCAAGCAAGGCCAGGCTTCCCATATTGTCGTTGAAGTAAAGTTATATTTGATATGATAATCTGCTGCATTTCTTATTTTACGTTTATAATTTGAGCTATGAGACTACGAGTAAATCAGTTATATTAGATGTATTTACTATATTTCATTTAAAGTGATGAAGGACTGGTAGCTTAATTTTTTAACCATGATATTAGTAGAGCTGACGTTTCCATTGAATTTTACACATCCCACTTTACTTCGAGGGTGAATCCATTTCATATAATTGATTTTATTGTAGCCTCGAAACTACTTTAAACCGAAAATCAGTAATGTTCTAGATTGCCATAGCAAATATAACTTTTCATTATCTACAATCTCACCATAGTAAGTGATTTGGTATAATGTCTCGCCTTACCTGAAATTCAAATCAGCTCTGTGACTCAAAAGCACTCGTGGCAATGTGTCATGTTTATTTTTAATATATAAGTTTCGAGGCTACCAGTAAATCAGTTATATGAGATGTATTCACCTTAATTCGTTTAAGTTAATGAAGGACTGGTAGTAGTATTATCCCACAATGATATGATTGGAGCTGACGTTTCCATTGAATTTCACAAGTTTGACTGCAGTTTCGACCTCGCATAGGTCTTATCAATGTAAACATCGGCTGTACTTATATTATTGTGGGAAAATTCGCTCGCACTCCTTTTACCTTAAACGAAATAGTATGATTATAAGCTAATTAAACATCTTTAAACCAAGCCTAATAGATTCGTGTTACTTTAGTTATTTTTTCATTGATTTTTCCTAAGTTCTCTTCCACAGCTTGCACATTTTCTGTTATAAAGTTTAGAACCAATAGGGAATATCCTCCTTAAAATTAAACAGTGAACACGAATTAAGAATAGGGCTTATCTCCTATTTACCTTAATTTATTACGATGTACCGGTTGAAGAAATCGCCGAAGTTGCCGTAGGTGGGAAAAAGTTAAGAAGCTCTATATAATAACATTGTATTTAGAATGTATCCTTTAGTATTAATGTGCACTGAAAAGTGATCGACACGGCCAGGAAAGGTCTTGAATTTGTGGGCATTTGCATGCTCTATTCATGACTTAAATCACCTGTCCTAGTAATCATTGCAATATTACCGTAGCAATGTATAATATATTCAGCCTGCTCATTATTGACAAAAACACGCCAGTAAAAATTTGTGACCGGGTTCGAACACATATTTTTCCTTTAATAGACGCTGTAGCCATCATATTTGTCAGTCAGTTTAAATACTCTCGAATTGTTCGAGGTCTCAATATTAATAAAATGAGACATCAGACTTGTGCTTCCACATTCAATTTCATCGGCGCCTGATTATCGACAAACTTAAGTTCGACATTTAGATAGACATCGGAAGTCTGAAATGCAAATTAGCCTTGTATCATGTTTTCATTTTTCCATGTAAACGGCCTTATTTTAATTCCAGTACACTTCCCCAGGTGGTTAAAGGTAGTTATCCTTATCTTATTCAGGATTATATTAATTTTGTTTAAGGCTTTCTAGTATTTCATTTTTTCTACTTTTCCATGTTTAGGATCATCTATTAGCTGAAATCTAGAAACTTATGTAAATTGTAGAATTGTTGACACATCTCTAGGTATTTATGTATCCTGAAAATCATGTTAGACCCTGTTCCAGACACAAATTATTCATTATATCTATTTTTAATAATCCAATTTTCAGAATGGTTAGTTTTGTTGTAGCAAAACTTCAATAAACTATAACTGCATAATACTAATGATTTGTGAAATCTATACATTTTTTCAAAGTAGATCATTACAGGATAATTTCACCCTGTTGAATTTATACTTTAAATATCCTAATGCGTTCTACTTAGAAGTCTTATATGAATTTATAGACAGACTATTTTTACTATCTTGTTCTAGTCCTAATTCTGTTATTTCAGCATTATAGTCGAAAGCCATGCGTTTGGGAAAAAGTGACTCAAGCACATCTAACTCATACTATTTCTCGTTTCTAGATGTGTTTACGTTCTTTAGACCAATTTTAAATAGTTCAACAGAAGACTTGGCATTGAATCCTTAATCACTATTCAATTAATACTCCCTCCAGTCATTTTAACTTTCTTTTGAGGCCTACAGAAATTATTCAAACTTAAAAAATTACCCTATGACTGCTGAACATTTTTATCAACACGTTTTGAATTTTCATTGACCTTGTTATTTTTGAAAATTCCACCCTAGGTATGTACAAGCTATGCCTGATCGTGTGACAGTAATATTTAGCACTGTCTTTAAGGACCCTGACGATGTCATCATAGGAAAAGTCTTCATGCAGGTATGCATTTCACCAAATCCGTCGTGAACTTAATCATTTATGCTCGCATTAATTCAGAATTTTAGTTAGTGCTATCAGCTCAATTCCCAGGTTTAATTTTTTTCTGGGAATTGTGTTCGCCTAATTTTCTAATTAATTGTGTTTATTTCATACAGTGTTTTGGCTGTATCTTATACTTTCAATTATTCTGCCTTCGTAAGCCTTTTGCAGCTAATCTAACCAATTTTTTTTAAATATATGCGATTGCAAGCCACTTGTTCTGGAGTTTTTGTAGCTATTTGGCAACGGGTCTGTAGCTTAGGCTCAACTGGAAAATATATTTAAAATACCTTGTTTGCGAAAGCTATTACAGTTAATTGGAATACAATATTTGCCCTCATAACTAGGATTCGATGACTTGGACTTTGCTATACCCTATAAAAGATTGATTTTGGGTAGTGCATATCTATTTCTTTCTGTGTGGAATAATAAAATGTGATAGGAGACATAAAAACTCTATCCCTTTCTCTATTTTAGACCATGCTAACTTTATCGCAATTATGGCTTTTTATCAGGAATTCACGGAAGTTCGACGTCGATTCGACCGAGCCCCACAAGTTCTCTACTCTCATCGAGTTCCCCCCGCCGAACTTCAGGGTACGGAGGCTGCTGTTGGCGATAATGTGGCCTATATTACTTTCGGTAGTTTATCTGTACTATTCTGAATGTACACCCAATTCCAACTTATATTCATGAATTTTCTTTTTCTCAACTAAAAAATCATCTCTGATGAATATCTTTATCTAAATATTATTGCTGGACTAATATTTGAATATCAGCTTATACTTGTTTCGATAATACTCTATTTAGGGACGAAGCATATGCTCACTGGTTAATTTTGCTTGTAGCTGATTGCTAGTGGACACAGGCTAGAACAGGTAGATGGTTATTTGATTCAGAAATTTTATTTTCCCTTTCGTATTTTGTGATACATATCCATGCCTTAAAATGCCATCATGGATGCATGATTACGTGATGAAGCGCGAATTTCTGTTATATATTCTTTTACAGTTGCCTTTGATAAGTCTAAATCATAATTGCATCCTACTCTATAATGTAGAGATTATCGGCGATACAAACTAATCACTATACTGAAAGCTCTCCTTTCAGATAATCTTTACAGATTTGTTCATCGGGCTTCATTCTCAAATCTACCTACTGTACATTAATATTTATAATTTTTACCGCTTCAAACACAAGACACTATGTTTATTCGACTTCTTTTTTTCGCAACTTGGTCGAAGCGTCAGGGTGATCTTGTGGAACATACCTAATCCTGTATCCTCTACCATAGTATTCGTAATCTCCAGCATCGGACCATTGACTTGATACACTCCAATACGTTTCGCCAATCCCCTTGACCAATTTTCTCTTTAATTGTTGTGGCATCACTGCTCGCTCCTATTTGTATTCTACCTTCTAGTGCTGCATCACTTTTTCTTAACCATATCCATCTATTTACATAATTTTGTGCTCTTGTTTTCTTTAATGTTGCCTAAGTGTGTGTCGATACAAGTAGGTTTAGTGAAACATTCTCATCTCCACGACTGGTTCCAGGTGCTGTTTGACGGGCTCCTGACCTTCATTCAGCTCATATTCCACCTCGCTTGTCAATAGCTTGCAGCTGCACATCAAAATCACTGTTTGACTGTCGAAATCTGACTACCTTAGAAGT